GTGGGTAGCACGCTTGCGTTCTGCCCATGAAGTCCCGGGTTCGATCCCCAGTGGGGTCGATGGATTCGCACTGCTGATGAGACCCAAACAGGTCGAAACAGCTGTCCAGTGCTTCCTAGCTTTTCAGTTCACGTTTCGTTTGCCATATACACGACGAATAACCTTCGAAATCAAATCAAATCCTCCATCACTCACTTGATATCAGTAGTCAGGTTGTGAAAGTTTCCAACCGAGTCATAACCCTGGAGGCGCGTGCTGAGATGCGCAGGGTCAGTAACCCGCAACAAGCTTGCACAGAGGGGTTGTGCTATATCGTGTAAATGGAAAATGAAAAACGGTCTGATCAGCTGCTCGGTGGCGTAGTGGGTAGCACGCTTGCGTTCTGCCCATGAAGTCCCGGGTTCGATCCCCAGTGGGGTCGATGGATTCGCACTGCTGATGAGACCCAAACAGGTCGAAACAGCTGTCCAGTGCTTCCTAGCTTTTCAGTTCACGTTTCGTTTGCCATATACACGACGAATAACCTTCGAAATTTTTGATATCTTGAAGGTAATCTACACAGATGACGTGAACTGGTGTACGTAGAGGTCTCCTCACCAATCATGGAAATTTAACCAAACTTGCTCAGAACAGGCCCAAAAGTACAAATAGCAGAGTGTATATAACAATCTTTCACTTAAAAATATCACGCAACATTCTAAAACTGCTTACCACTGTTCAATCTACCTATCTCTCTCTCTTTCTCTCTCTCGCGCGCGTTAACCATCCGCATCGGTTGTTCTATCGCATGACAGTGCCAAACCCATTCGGATTTCACCGGCCCAACCCTAGGACCGAAATTGGCTCAAGAGAACAAGCGTGAATTCACTGAGGAACAGCTTCGTGAGAGTTCCAACGTGGTCAGCCTGCAGTACGGGACAAACAAAGGTGCCTCACAGGCCGGTATGACCATGGGCAAACAACGAATGATCATTGATTAAATCGAACGTCAAGTAAAGCCTCGCTCCCCTCCCCCACACGATTCAGAGGGACCGCGATTGTTTGTCAAGTTTAACCAACTTGCATTTCCCATCTTTTTGAATATTCCACTCCCCAAGTTGGCTCCTTGCTTTTATCTCCCCCGCCCCCTCCCTCTCGATTCACTTTGTTTCTTTCTTCCTCACCACCAAATCGAGCATTGAAATGCAGTAGCTCGTATCGCTTGGCACGTGAGCGGTTTTATCGTGCACAATCTGTCTCCTTTTCGGAATGTATAATCATGAATAATTTCGCATTTTCTGTTATCATATCAAATAAACACGTGCACATTTAAATGTTTTTCAGTTCTCAAGATTATACAAGGCTTTGCCGCTGACGGACGACGGTAGGGTGAGGAAACACTGGCACAGGGGTCCTCCATGGGTCGGGTTTAGAGATAAACCTAAGAGGCAAAATAAATAAAACGCCATGAACCAAAAAGGTCTAGTGAGATTTAAACAATCAAAATAAAATATGAATGTGGTGTTTGCCAAGCGTTACAGTTGTTGTTTCAGTAAGTCATCATGTTACAGATTCGCATTCAGTACGGCGGAGTAGCACCAGCAAGTGATAAACTGATTTACCATTGAAAATGCGTTTCGGCACTTGATAGTTCCGTACTTCTGAACCGAGACACTCTGAACTAGTTCCATCGAGAAGTGTCACATAAGTGTTTAACGTGAGAATGCCAAGCCTGTAGCAATTCGGGTAAATATTTGATAATCGTCGTCATCACTATCATCCAGTTTTTCACTGTCAGTGAGCCACTGCAGGTTAGCGCTTTCTTCAAAGTGGAACTCCAAGTCGATGAAGAGCTGTGTACACCAAAAACGGATGAATTTTCAGTGCGGTTCATAGAATATAACGATCAAAAATATAAAGCTTAGAAAGTCAGATGATAACAGTTACGTGAACAAAAGGCAGGCACCTTCGGTGATCGTCATAGAAGCTTTTTGAGGAAATTGGCAAAGAGTGACCGATTTTCCACAAGGTGCACAAAGTGGAGATTAGCATGCCTATTTCGGATCGGTTGTTACAAGTTGTTAAAATTTGAAGACGTGCTCTCTGTTAACACTTTTTAGTGGTAGATGACATTCTTTTGATCGTAGGTTTCAAAATATTTCTTCGATAAAGTGACAAATGAAATCACTGACTCGGGATGAAAATTCAGAGGATTCAGAACTGGATAGAAATTCTGGGGTTTGGAGTCAGCTAAGAAAATTCGGAAGCAGAATATACAGTGTGAGATAGGGTTACTTGCAATATTAAAATTATGCGGAAAATAGCACGAAATTCTCAAGCTCTTTAATACACAAGATTTATCTTGCAATTTTTTGCATAAGCACTGTTGGGATAGGAGAATGAAGGGTTTTGCGATGGAATTCAGCCGAGGAATTTTCAAGAGCTGGTGTTAGGAATCAGAGAATGAAGGAGAAATGTAAGAGCTGATAAACCCTTGTTATCATCTGCCTTTAAGTTCTGACCCGAAAACAGTATTTCAATCCATGGGGTAGGTCGAACAAATCATGAGTTTTGGTTTTTGTCGAAACGTTTCAACATTGAAATGCAATTGAAAACTCAGGGCACCATCCAAAATCGTCCCAAGGGATAACACAAGGATGAATTTCATTGTTCGGCGAGGTATCAAGTGAGAATAACTTTGTGTCAAGCTTAACGTGTCAAAGCCTTATGCGTTAACTGCATCTTGCCACGATAGATAATATGGCATTCACACAGCAAATTTCAATCTTAATTGCTGCAATTTATGGCAAAATACATCCCGGATTTTCATCTAGCATAGACGATTACGTTGACCATTGCATCATCGCATGTTAGAACGAGGCCGACTGCAGTAGTTGAACGCAGCAACATATCATATTTATTTCTAATATCGTGAAACAACAAGGTGTCTGTTATAGACGTTTTCTCATTCTTGTTGCCTAATATCGTAGCGCTATAATTTTTCTCTCCTAATTACACTACTTATGAGTAGCATCATTGTACACTCGAAATGTAATGCAACGTGGAATATGCTGGACCAGGGGATTCCAGTTCGAAAGTAAGCGCTCAACATTCATTCCATGTTTAATTCTATATTGAGGGAATGGATAGAATTAATGATGGTGAAGAATAAAATTATATCCTAGAGTTTACATCCAGAAAAGAATAGGACGCATTCACTGAATCATTGTATTAGTCAGTCAGACCATTGCGGCACGAGTTAAAATCCGTTCGCTTTCCGTATATCACGCACGAACGACCTGGCCGGATTGATCGATCAATCTGGAATAGTAGAGAATCAGTTAGCAACATGGACAAAGAATGCTGTGGTGAAAGCTAATAATGATAGTGCTTGTGGTTCCGCGTGCTTCTGGGCGGCAAGAGGTGAAATGAATTCCATTCAAACAATTTTACGCGCGGATGGAGTATGTTCATACGACGTGTCTAAAAAGCAATAAGAAATCAAGTAGGATCTCGTGCACGTATAGTGCTCACCGAAATTATGGGGACTGAAATTTCACCATCCATTACGTTTTATTCCTTCTGACAAAATGATTCCGTCTGCAGATTCTCAAGCTAGTTGGTAGAACTGACTGTTACTAGGCGACGAATAGTTGCCATGATCATATTCCCGTGAGAACGGTTATATGCCGGATACTGATGCGGAACCCTCTCTATGCAATTATCTCTAGTTTCTATAATCTTGACAAATTACCGGCTAGTGTGATTGTGCAAGTGTGGTTCCTGCAATAGTTGTCATGGTGACATCGATAGGCTTCAAACAAAGCGAATCATAAATGATCACGGGACTGATCCCTTCCATTCACTACAAAATGCTAGAAATCAACACATAGACAGTGGATTGATCCTTTATCAACTGGTGCTGGAATGTCCCTATAATTATACTTCACTCTATTCTTCCAAAGTTTTCAGTAAAACTTTTTTATTTATCAAGATGCTCGACTTTCATTCACCTCCTAATAGAGAATGTTCTGTTCAAAAGCCGAACCTCTTGTGACAAAGAAATCATTCCAAAATAACTGGTTGTCACTATAATTTGGGCTGCTACATACAAACAACACTGTGTATGCTAAACGAGCGCTGAACGGGCGGCAATTTACGAAAGCGTAACATGAACGAGGGAAACACAGAAGGAATAGCTATATTATTCCGCGAATTTATTCCCGTATTCGAGTTCGTATTTATTTTTATACTGATGATTCACTAAAAAATCAGATACGACGGCTGTGATGGAGTGCTTCCAATGTTTTTTCTATGCTATGAGTGTGTTTGTGTAGCAAATTGACTCTGTAAGATGAATGTGTTTATAGGGACAGATCTGATGCTGCAAACAGCTTTATGCAAACTTCATGATTAACTACTATTCCTGTAGAGTGTGAAGTATCGAAAACTACACTCACATTATGTATTGGTCTAAAAGTCGGTCAGCATCAGTGTTTGCAGAAAGCTTCGTGGAAAATTTCGCCAACAAGTTAACGTGGCACCCCACCATTTATGTAATCATTTGAGCTCATGCAGATCACAATTTGAGTTATTGAGAGTGCGAAACTATCTGGATTGTGTGCATGACGTAAAAATGTAATGGGTTCTTCAGCGTGTGGGACTTACGTCGAATCGGATCGCATTGATTGGAAAATCAATTTGATTTGTTTCGGAGCCCAATCAAATGCATGCAGCAAACCAGAACATCGGCTTATGGTCATGCAACATCTGATATACACCTGGTGAGTTAACTGGAATTGACATATGTACAGTTATGCGCATAGGTATGGTATGGAAGTGACCTGTAATTTACCGATTAAAGTGATATGGGACGAAGCAAACACAATGTACATCGCAGACCGGGAAGAAACGTATGATTGCAGAGGGATAGTGGTTTAGAAACGCCAGGGCCTGAGGAGTTCAGGCTCTACCGCAGGTTTTACTCCGGAACAGAACATTCACTTTGTGCTATCCGGTCCCGTACTTCGATCTGTTCCGAACGATCAGAAACAAGTCCTGGAAGCGGCTCCATGTTATCAAATCTAGAACACTCGAAAACCGCACATTGGAGTTGCCCGGAATTCTCACGACCAACCTATTTGGAAATGGAATTATGTGATTTGCTACAATGGATCTTTATTTGTTTTGGGTATCCAATTTTAAACATCGCAAGTAAGAATCTGCAAGTACAACTTGCCTGTATGCGCGGTTCACTGCACTATCAACAGTATGAATCTGATATCAGAACCACCACCTCGGTTGTCATGCGCGGCGTGTGGGTCGCACGAACTCACTATTTTCGTTAAATGGCAATATAGGTTAGCTACGATAACCAGATAAGCTCCGCACCATATTTTCGTCCTACCTGGTCCCACCTGAGTGGTGCAAGTGTCAGTAAACAAGTGCACCTGCACGTGAGTGAATTTCAGCTGGACGCCATCAAACGTGCCTGTGATGTCGCGTCCTTAAGGTGCGACATGCAAGCTAACTGCATGCGATGAATGAACTGCTAAAGAAGTGGAAATTATTTTCCCACTAATGAGATCTGCGCGTAGGCAAAACTCACTTATCGTCAGAGCTGCGCAATAAGACGCCACTGTGCCCGCATATGACTGCCCCGGGTGACTGACCTCCGATGAAGCAGGTTGTTTAGTATTACATCACGAGTAAGGCGACGACTGAGTCCCTTAACACTTATTCTATTCATGTGAGTTTCAGTTTAGATCAGAGAAAATACAACCATCTTATCGAGAAGTTAGTACTGGGCAAAAATTGGATGACATCAAACAAAATTAGAGCACTCGAATGGGTTGCAGAGCATGTTTTTATAACGAGCTAAATGATAAATCAGAAAGACAGTTGCATTCCATCGGTATCCCGCGTTCAATTTTGAGCAGCCCGAAAGTCAGAATACCAGATGAGTCAACTGAAAGCGAGGGACAGGAATGACGAATATCAT